CGGCTTTCCGGTTCTCGGTGCCAAAAAAGGTGGTGACCTCAATTGATGCAAGAAAAAATATCTTTTATGAATCGCGTTCCTTCTTTCGTGAAATTTTAGTCAAGAGAAATAATGGTTGGCTCAAGCGGATACCCTGGCATATTCTAGTTTACTTAATAAAGCAAACTAAAATATAACGAAAATTGTACAAGTAATTATTGATGCCAAAAAATTTATTCATCACATTCCTGTAACAGACAGTTATTTTTAGTTACATCTTACATCATTGACCAAATTTACTAGTATGATAATTACCAATACATGAATAGAGAGACAATTAAGTGGATACCCTAGCCTATTCTAGGTTGTAAAATGAAATTTAAATAGAATTGAGATCAGAAATTATCATGTTCTCATGCACTCCAACTGCAGTTCTAACTTCTAACTACTTGGTTAATGTTGCTAAACAATTCTTGCAATATTATCGTGCTGCATAAATGCTGCATTATTGCATAATATACTTGCTTCTGTTTCTGCCCATACCAATCAGTATTATAAACTGCTATTCTTATCAACCACCGTTGATGATAGCAATGTTTATAAGCATGCCATCATTATAAGTGTGAATAATGATAAGAGAGCTGGGACATATTTTTGGTGAGTGCATGGGCTATGGCACAAGTGCGAATGGGTTTAATGAGGAGGAATGAGAGAGATGAGAATGGGAGTTTTATGTGTAATGTGGGTGTGAAGAAAACTGATTAGTAAATTACTTTGTAATGTGTGTAATTAACAAAACGCATTTTTTCAATCAACGCCGAGTGTTTTTCATCAGGTAGCACCACTATCGTTGCCTCTACGATCGAGAATCATCTGAGCCGTCTAAACGTCACCAAACTGTAACCATACCGATGCGGTACATCGCTGATTTCAGTGCATACAATGTTTACGCATGAAGACATCACCTAAAACTCGAACATGATATCAACAGGATTCGGCGCCGCGAGAATTTTCCGGCAAGCTCCAAAGTGTCAACCCAACCATTTTTATCAGCAATCTCAGAAATGCAGCCCTCAACTCACTTCACTTTCGCAATATGAATTATTTTCTATGAAGCATAACGCGAGGCTAATCACACTCAGTGCAAAAATAGAACGCATCACGATCGATTAACAAAACAATAAATTTGTCTGATCACGATCCACGAACGATTTCTGCAAGAAGGTTGCGATGGAGGCATGCATTAGGTTTCGAGTTCGCATCTGGGTGTGAAGAATTTCGCCCAGACTTCTCTGACGCCATGAGCGAAGTTCGTTGAAAAGACAACAACCAAGAGCGTAGCGAAACTTAAGTAATTCTAATGTGAATTATTACGTTATAGGATAACCAAATGATCGAAAAAGCTATCAAGGGTGCGGAGCATTTTATTTTAATCTATAAACAAGAGACTGATCCATGCTGAATATGCACACTCAATCTTTACCCTGAATCTCACAAGTCATTTACAACTCGCCAGTAAATATTGAGATAAGATGAGATTCTCAACAGAGTAGAAACGTACATTTAGATGCCGATGTAAGATCACGCCCTAGCACGACCAAGACCAATGCCTCTACCTTAAAAGTCCACTCGAATTTTGCTCTGACACGTGAAAGTCCAAAGGAAGAGCATACCTCCCACCAAGAGCCTTCGTTCACCGGTGTTGAATGACCCGTGAGAGTGTCACATACTGTACCGTACATAAGGTAACAGGTGACTAGAGTTGCACTGTATCATCCAGCGAAAATCCTAACACGTGCATCTCATGGGATATAAGAAAATTATGAGAAAACTAAAACTAAAACAATGGAAGACATCAATCATATGGGGAATATAACGTAAACGACAAAATTTCCCAAATACATTTCAATAAATTACTCAGACACAAATGCCATGAGCATGACAGCAGCTTAAGGACAGCTTCACCGCCAAGACGGCGATGTTTAATGCTTCTCGAATCTCGAGTGTCAGCAACTTAAAGGTCCCGGGCCGTACTATCTAAACTCGCTTAAGTACACGTAACGGAAAAAGTACGCGTAACGGTCGATTTCCTGTCTGTAATTGGTAGGTTTATTTTGATAAGCCGTACGTGCTTGGCTAACGGAGTTACAAACTAGTTACTATTTATTATAGTGCGGTCCCCGGTCTCGGTGCCGAATGATTCGTAGCTTGACAGCATGCACATGAAACCATGCAACACCAAAATGCACGCGAAAACCCTCCAACCTTTGACGATCCTTGGCAGATCCCACTGAAATTATCGCTCCATGATGCGCGTTAATAGTCAGCTAACGCCGGTAACTATTATACATTTTGGAGCGTGTGTTTGTCTCTGAACTACTGCACTGCAAATCTAAATATTTTTGTAATTTAGTTCGTGTGTTTGAAGCAGTTGCAGGAAATATATAGGGGCTGTTCAGGCACGTATCCACATTACCCATGTCTTGTCAGGACTTACAGGGCCTAAAATTATTACTTATTTATTTTCCGAAAAGGAATCTTGCGGCATCGTTAAACGAGGATTGATGGATAAGCTTAAATTCGTTTCATGTTTCAATTTCTTCTAAAGGTGTTGCCGCGTTCGTCAGGTGCGGCAGCTCGTAGCAGGTCACGCCCTGTAGACGGACAGCTGCTCGTATGAGGCACCCACGTGCGCTCGCGTCTTGGCTGCTCTTCTCGCCTACATCTTACCTTATTAGCAGCACGGCACGCGCCAGGTCGATAACGAGTTTTTTGTAGGTAGGTGTTTGATTTAAATTAGTATTTATAATACTCCAGACGTGGATTTAATCAATCCTTAATAAACTAAGAATAACAAAAACACGAGCTATATGCGTATAAAATCTATGACGTATCGAGGGAGACATACCACGAACGATTTTAATACTGTGAGAACAAATTGGTGCGTGTTGATAGCGCATTTCAAGAGAAGTTCACCAAAACTGGTTAAAAAATTAACAATTTTCAACTACAAACCTTCCTTACTATAATTAATGATTTAGAACGATAACAATGCCAAAAGCAATGAAGGAGCTATGCATCAAATCAAATAAGCAATTTAATTACCGAACCAAGGTTACAGAAATGTATAGCCAGCGTCAACTTGAGAATACCGTATATACAAGTGACTAAAAGCCACGAGTGAGAAGAAGAGCCTAAATGACGGAAATTCATATATATTCAAAATTCATATCAATTATTAGTAGCAAGCTGATTTAAGTATATTAATAATCACCATTTATGCTCTGCCGTTTAAAGCCATCGGCACGTCGAGTAACACGATTAGAACTAATGTTCTAATCATGTTTACCACTAATACATACCTCATGACAATTATCCGCATTAATTAGACACGCTTATCTAATGATCGAAACATCTACACAAAGTTTTACACAAAATTGTACTTTCAGAGAACAAAACGGAAAGAATCCCGGCAGCCAAAAAATACATGCCATCACCTTCCTAGGACAACTTACGTCGAGGATGAACAACTATTATTCCTACGCGCGATTGAAATAGAAGTGTTCTATTAATTTTTCACACTTGTTAGTTTCTTGCGATCACAGACGCAGTGATAACTCGAGCAAGAAGCAAGAGAAACGTGGAACTCGCTGTGAGGCAGCGCGATAGTTAGTCACACATAACAGCTCACAGATACGGCGATATTACTGATAAGATAAGAGCTTTTACGAGTTCCTAGCTGGTAAGATGATTAATTGGTGTTGTAATTAGTCTAGCATCAATGCCGCAATTAAAGGAAGAACTTATATGTAGCACATTAATTACATAGTTAATCAGAAAGGACGTAAGAACAGCGAGAGGAATGAAATTTTGCCAGATATCTTGCAGGAAAATTCAGTTGCAATACAATATTTTTTCATGCACGCGACCGATCTAAAATAGATGCATACACATTCAGGTGAGATTTTCAACAGATGAACGCATCTTTTTAAGAATTTAATCAAACCTGTATCCTGGTGTAAAATTGGCATATTGACAATGTAATTTTAGACAAAAAGGGCACTTTATAATGGGAGTTCAATATCAAATTTTGATAACAAACAAAGTTGAAAGAAAAAGTCTGAATCCAATATGTAACCTAAGACAGTCTTAGCAAAACTTTAGAAATATTGACGAAACTAAATGTAAGATGGCTTCCACACTAAATAACGATAGCCAGTTTTTTGAAGCCCCTACAGTTTCGAGGATGTGCAGCAACTTCACTCGAGACCTGCCGAAGTTTAGCATTAACAAGAGCTGTTAGGTATGTATAAAAAATAAATAGGTATGCTGTAGCAAAGCGACGCATTAGACGCAGTCGATGACACGGGCCTGTGATTGGTCCTCAGTCAATAGCTGCTCTAACTTTTAAGCAGTTCCCGAGCGGCGAGATGAGGCGGTCTTATTCGAAACCCCACAATGAGCTCCAGTAAACAATATCAGTGCAAGAAGAAGGTCCTAATTTTTAATTCGCCACCTACTATTATTCTGGTCAATTTGTGAGACTGTGTTGTTTTTTACCGTCACTAGTACAACAATAGAACAAAATTTGGTGACGTATTCACTCGGCCTAACGTAGCGCAACAAGGAACGCATTCCAACTTCCCAGAACGAGTGATTGAAGCGACCCAAAATGCACGCTCGTGCTGCAGTGACGACTGTCTCGGTTTCCTGACGGAGGGTAAACTCTTCGCATTGTAAACCGAGTTGACGGATCTTAGTTCGGAGTTATAAATAGTTTGGTTTCCACATTTATTTTCCAAAGCTGAGTCCGTAATTGATGGTGCGAAGGGTGCCTTCACCGACAAATTCAAAAGCAATTCAATCAACACTTTAAGTCTGAAAATTATCGAGAAAATGAAAAATCGCAAACTTAGTACAATTAATACAGGATAATTATTGTCGCAGGAATGTTTATAATGACAACCAAAACTGACTAAGGTTTGACAAACTAAGAACCATGACAAGTAAATGTGTAACAGTTAAGCCGAAGTCTGGATACAAAGTGGGAGGCGAGAGCTGCTCTCGGAACGACGACGCATGTCATTCAGAGGTGGAAGCCCCCATATCCAGCTCACGAGGAATTTCGCCGCGCTGCAACGCGACAACGACTAACAAGTCGGTTGCATAATGTACGACTAAAGTTTCAGGTTCAATAATTTATAGATTAATTTAAAACATAAATCCTAACGTATGTTGATAATTAAAACATTAAACATGCAGCACTTAAATAATTACACGGAGGCATGATGATCAAATTTACATGGAAATCAGAGGAAACTCATTACATGGAAACTCAGAGCAACGCCGCATAAACTATCGAGTATTTAACCCTTTGTGTAAAAACGCGACTTTTCAGTCCCAGGACCTGAACGTACGAATAGCATCGACGACGGTAAATGTATCCGTACACAAAGGGGTAAACAGTAAACACCATGCCCTTCTCCTCTTCCTTCACTTCTCCTCCTCAGCCAAAACATATCATTAGTACACACTGCAATGGCTCAAGTATATCTAACTCGTTTTTTTCCGGTATAAAATTTTGAGATATACATATAATGAACGCAACGACTAGTGTAACACGCCATCCAAGCGAGAGACCAGCAATGACAAATGGGCGAAATTTTGTAGGATAATTATTTTGATGCGCCACGCAAAGCCAGTTTCCATATCTGTGACACTAAATTATACTTGAATGAAAATTCAAACGTCACGCTTTAGTTAGCAGTCCCAAACCAAAACAAACACTGGACTATCATGATCCTTTTCCAAACGAAAATATTTTTCCCCATCACTATTAACTCCGTTTTGCTTGCTTATGGAGAAATGCGTAGTACTCATTACATTCACGGTATGAACCACTGGTAAATCAAGGGCTATCATCTGCATTGCACCGCGCAAATGAATGCAGCATGTCTGGACGGCTGTCCTTGCAATGGCGCCAGACTCCCTCCCGCCACTCCTGATTGCTGGAACGCCATGAGCAACAATTATTCACCGATCAGATTCATGATTCAGGTAGGAATGACATTAGAGATAAATGAACGGAATCACCATTTACATTGGCGAAAATTTATACGATCAGTTTGGATTCAAGTAGGAATGACAGAGATAAATGAACGGAATCCCTTCACATTGGCGAAAATGTATGAGATCAGTTTGATTCAATTACTACGTGATCAACCGAAAAATTTTTATTTGGGTGACACAGTTTGGAATCCATCTGAGGTCGATGAAGATTATTCCAACTGCTTCGGAAACAACCCATACACGTGACAACTTGTTCCTTAACGAACAGACTTGAGAGCAATCAAATGTTAAACATTAATTTAGCCCCGTGGTCAAAATTCAGCTATAACGAAACAATTAGATTCGTTCCTTTAACTCCCGGGAGATTAATTCAACTGTCGCGTCCAGCACATTAATCTTCCATTTCAGGCCCAAGTATGCAGTATGCATATCTGAGCATGCAGTGTAGCTGTACACTGCATACTCAAATAACTCAATGCCAAAAATGATTTTCAATGTTCAATTTTATGTACATTATATAAGACATTTATTTTAATTGTGAGAAGATGAGAAAGCATTGAAAGGTCTTAAAGGAAATTGAAATTCCCTACCGTAAATACGGCCTATTTACGTGAATCCCGACGGCCGAGGATATTAAATTTGGGAGAATCTGAACTCCGAGGCTTGCGTTCATACGAGCCTTGGCCAAACCTTTCACTATTATAATTACTTTTCCTCTGTAATTCAACAAAAAAATAAGGCACATACGTACGTATTACAATAAGTGCCAGCACTTCAGACTAACTCCATCGAACCTCTAAGGGCCATAAGACTTTGGGGATCATTCGAACACAAGTTAGGATCCAAAGTACACTCGGAATGCGTTCCGAGTTTCTTGCATTTTTATTCATTCGAAATTGTGAGGGGCATCAGGAATAAGTTTTATTTTTTCAATATTACAGTCGAATTTTTGCCTATGAGAGTTCATTCCATTTCAGTGGTAAACTATATTTATAAAAAATTGTAACATTAATATAGCAAATAGCAATTCTCTTTCTGAATCGTGTAAGCTACTTCAATACCACTAAAGCCAAAACGTAATGCCTGTAACATAAACTATAACTTAAGCCATCAAAGCACACAGTATTAGGTGGACACACCATAAAAAACGTATAAAGTAGAAACACTATAGAAAAAAAAACACAATAATGGCAACCAGGAGAGCAGCGATGGGAGTGAAAGTTGCGACCGCTGGGCTTGACAGTTAGTAACGGCACGTGGCCTGGGCAGAATACCGCTTTATAATGCTTGGAGAAAGGCTTGGGATCCATTCATAATGTGCCTCTTCATCTAGCCGTCGAGAGCGACTTACTTTGAATAATTAAGTCATGAGATCGAGTTTGTTGAGTTAATAACACATAGGTCCAATTATGTATGATGTTGCTCGAAACGAAAATCTTTTTCTGAGTTAAAATGCTCTCGGGAATGACTGAGAAAATATAAAAAGCTGACACAAACGCAAAGAGCTCATAAGAGTTACGCGAGTACGGCACTCGAGCATGCATGTAGCTGATGCAGCCTACGCGTTGACAGAGCACCGGTGTGTCGGTAGCCTAACTAAACAATAAAGAAAATAGACACACGTTAAAAGAGCTCATAAGAGTTACACGAGTACGGCACTCGAGCATGCAGGTAGCTGATGCAGCAGCCGCCGCGTTGACAGAGCGCCGAGTGTGTCGGTAGCCTAACTAAACAATAAAGAAAATAGACACACGTTAAAAGAGCTCATAAGAGTTATGCGAGTCAGGCACTCGAGCATGCATGTAGCTGATGCAGCCACACGTTAAAAGAGCTCATAAGAGTTACGCGAGTAAGACACTCGAGCATGCATGTAGCTGATGCAGCCGCCGCGTTGACAGAGCGCCGGTGTGTCGGTAGCCTAACTACGCAAGCAGGCCGCCACTGCAGGAAATTGCCTGCTTGACCACCGAGTGCTGACATCTTCATGGCCTCTTGAGGACCCTTACCGGGGCAAGCGAAGGGCGTCTCACAACTCGAGTTATTAATAAACAAGTATAAATAAACTAGAGAGGTATCAGCTCTCTGACGGAAACGAATGCCCAGCAGGGCAGCAAACGCGTTCCCAGGAGATATACCTACCCGCGTTTTAGACCAAAATTAAGATACGTAGAACCCCGAATATATTAGGAGAATGAGTTATTAACCACAGTAACTTCCATTCTTGCTTCAATTTTGACTGTTAAGAGAATATTTTTATATTAAACTTCTGATTAAAAAGAGAGTTGTCATCTCTAGTACCGTAATGGACATATGACATTGCATACATGGTACGATATGCTGAGATATAAATCACTTGCGTCCATGTGAACAAAACATACATGAAGCAACTAACCTTATACTTAGAAATGTAACGAATTAATTTATTAAATTTCGTGGCTAAATGCTATGAACTAATGAGTGTCAATATTGAGATGGGTTAAAATAATGAAAATTAATTACAACTATAAACAGCAAACCGAAAAGTTGGGTAACTCATGTCCAGGCTTTCACAAATGACCATTTCAAAATTAATTCTACATGCGAAATTCCAAATTAATTCTACATTCAGCAAAAATAAGATTGAGTGAAATCTTAGTATCGTAAGGCAATACTTCTTGGCACAAGAGGTAAATACAAGACTGGCAGGAAGAAAGAAGAATGTCGCCTCCAGTCAGGCAGCAGCAGCCTTGTCAGTGCGTCGACTTCCTCACCCGGTTTCCTCAGCTCGCCAACAACAGAGCACCTGCTCCTGATTCCGTTCAGGAGGACACATCCGATAAACACAATTAATATTACTCCAGCACTTTATCCTTAATACAACAGGCCATGGGGTATTACTTTAGATTAAGTGCATCCAAAAAAGGGTGTTTTTTAATTATTTCTTTTCTGGGGTGTAGATTGAGGATCTGAAATCCGTTTTTGGCGGTCGGCATCGGAAATTTTTAATGGAACCTGTTCCTAACTGGACCTAACCTGCGAGGTTTTCGTTGATCGGCTAGGTTTTTTCTATGTTTGGAGTACTTCCGGCGGCCGGAAATCAGCGAAAACCTCGCAGGTTAGGTCCAGTTAGGAACAGGTTCCATTAAAAATTTCCGATGCCGACCGCCAAAAACGGATTTCAGATTCTTAATCTACACCGCAAAAACATATAATTAAAAAAAAGAACACCCTTTTTTGGATGCACTTAATCTAAAGTATTACCGACCATGGGCTTATTTCTTCAGCGCCGACACTACCATACTATATTAATGAACATGCACATGCATTTCACTCTCGGTCGTGGCGTGTGACTCTCAGAGACTAAGTCAGAGTGCACTTCGATTCCAGATGGATCACGACAACATGTCATGTTACTCATATTTCGGTGCACAGTCATTTCTATTCAATAGTGTGCCGTTGTCTCAATACTAAAGGTTCGGCTTTTCCTGCTGTTCTGCGTTCGCGCACAGCACTGTCAACCTCAATAATACGTACATAAAGCACTTGGATACTTCGCAGCGCCATCCACCAACATGCATCTCTATGAGACTATATCCAGTGCACAACTACTGAGAGAAACCGTTTTCTAGGAACGATTGCTCAAGATGTACCACTAATAGTTTATTTTAAAATTCCGATGTCGCAACCTTTTTAGCGCATTTTTTCATTTAGGGAAAAAAGGCGCTATTGTGTTCGTCATATCCATCCGTCTGTCTGTCCGTGACTTAACGGACGGACGAGAAAATACGCTCTCTAGTCACTCACTGCAGTGAATACTGAGTAATATTTTTTTTAACTTACGCTTTCCTAATCGAGTCGCCGGCCTCATTAACTCGGTTGTCTTAACTTTCACTTTAATCGTGAAACATAAAAAATGACGGTAAGATTACTGACGTCCGACACTGTGTTGGGCCCGCATCCCTTTGGTCCTTCAGTAAAATTTATAGGCATCAGTTACTTGAAAGAACATGTATAAATCGAAGTCGGCTGTTGATCTTTACTGAACAGCTTCAACAAGAAAAATGTCAACAACCAAAATAATTCCACGGCGCCATAGACTACGTACTATAAATACCTATTCAACTTCGAATAACACAGCAGAAGTAAGGTTTCCAAATCTACAGAAAACACTAGGACATTAACAATGAATGCTTCAAGCTTTGCTTGCAAGGGACCTTCACAAACAAATCAATGAAATCATATCATTTCTCTGTAGTGAGTAGTCAGCCCGACAGATAATACGATGAAGGGTAATACCGGTAGATTTCAATTCCAGATGACATCCAAGCTCGATAAATATTCTATCACCCAACACTTCTTCAGGAATAGGACTATGGGCCTATTTCTTCAGTGCCGACACTTCTATTCTAGACACTTCTATTCTAAAGTTCTACGCCTCGCCTCCAAGTCGAGTGCTGTAAATTTTGACAGAATATTTACCAAATTGTCAACTGTTTGCTTCCTTACAACTTTATTACTTTACAATCTTTTCGAAAGAAATTAAGTTACGTGTATTTTACAACTTATTCTCCTTAAGAAATTACAGGGTGGTTATTTTACTCGTCTGAATCCAAGAAATTTATTTCATCTTATAATAACATAATATATTTACAGTGACCTCGGCGCTCAAGTGTACTTAGTGTAGGCCTGATGTGGCCTGTCGCCGATGCTTTTCCTTTTCGTGCCTTGTTCACAGAAGATCTAAAATCATGTCATTTGACCGGTTCTTTTCATGACTGAGTCACTGACAAATGACGATAGTTTGAAATAGCTACTAGACTTCCACCGGGTTCGATATAGTGCTAGGCAGTAGGCATTTCAAATCTGAACATATATTTTTCCATAGCTTTATCTAGTCTGTTCTTGAACGCGTTCATACTTCGAGGGCCAACGATGTCATCGGGGAGGCTGTTAAACATGTCGGTGATTCGATGCGAAAAGAAATGTTGTCGCGTGGTGAAGTTGCAGCGCAGTTTTATTTGTTTATAGCCGTGGCCCCATAAATTTTATGTTTTATCCAGAACATTAGTGATTAGCCAGTAGCCACTACTTGGTTATTCTGTTGATTGCCGTAACATGGAAATGAACAAGCATGAAGCACCCTACGTAGAATTAAATTCAAGAGCACAACAATTACCTATTCTACTGTACTGCCAAAATCTCTTCACTTCATTAACATATCTCCAATTATCATCATCTTGAGTCTTGAGTCTCGTGTAAACACGTATTTGACATCTAAAAGTAGGCTCCCATGATCTGTAACAACCATGCATATTAACCTAGTGCATAAATCTGCATGACAATCATGATGCAGTAATATGCGTAAACAAAGAGCATACCTTTGAATGTTGATCGCGCGGCTGGTCAACACAGCAGCTCCGAAGGATTATGGATGCTCCAGACTCTCGCCAAACTAGTGCGAACCTTTAGCATCTAATTTACAAATTACTTCCTTTTAAGGATACGGATAAAAATATTTAAGCCATGAAATCATTTTATGTTCCATTCAAGAAAGGGTCAAGCGATAAAAAATTGTCCTGTCAAAATTTAAGAGCGTCTCGTATATGGTTCAGCACGACCGATGACCGCGCACCTTCCACCTCACTGGCTTTTAGGCAACTGAAGTGAAAAAGCGCCTGCCGCCTTGCGCAGTTGCGCTGATACTCCGCTAGTAGCTGCAGTTGCAGCACGCATTAAACTGTTCGAGTAGCTGCGGCACCGTAATTGCTGGAACCTGAGGTGAGCCTTTAACCATGTTTCTGTTCATAATACTCATGGTGTAGTATTTTCACACAGGCATTTATATTCGGATATTCTCTTCTTCTCAGATAATTTCAGAAGGTCTGCTTAATATTTATAAATGTAGCACTTGCTAGAAAAAATGAACTGAAACCTTTCATACGAACGAATTTCGTCTCAATTCGTTATCAAAAATGATAACCATTCACGAAACCGGTCTCAACACGCATAAAAAATAAATACCTCAGCAGAGAGATCAGAAAAGTTACAAAGACTTAGATCATGTTAGATGTTTATTGCATGAATCATCAGACGTTGACGCGGTAACTTCGAATGATTTCAGGCTCTGGTGGTCACCAATCACCAATGCCAGCGCACACGTTTAGACGCTTAAAATAATATTTTCTTCTTATGTTTAACATTATCATCTGTTGATTTTTTCGATGGCAGTAAATGATTACTTCACCCAGCACGTACAGGATGCATTGCACAAGTAACCCAGGCAGCGTATTGCAGCCATGACAGACAGACTGTTCGTTCGCAAGTTAGGTGTTGAGATGCGACCTTCACCTCTTGTAGTGCAAGCTTTCCCGTGAATGTGACTGTGGTTCTTACCTCGCCTTTACATAAATTGTTGTCTGTGGCCGTCTATGAGGTCAGTGAAAAATCATTTCATTTTTTATATATTTGGCCAGGAGCTTTGCTTATACTGGTGGCAGGAGCTGTGCTCACTCTGGTGGCAGGAGCTGTGCTTACTCTTTTGGACTCTGGTGGCAGGGGCTGTTCTTACTCTGGTGGCAGGAGCTCTACTCAAATAATAATTGAATAATAATAATCGTAATAGTTAAAATTTCTATAGCTTGCCATTATTAGAGTAAGGTTCTTTGTTATGTGCTTACCACACACGACCCGGGCGTCCATCTCGAAATACAGGGTGAACCAGAATTAACTAACCCTTTTAATTTGTTAATAAATAAAAAACTAAGATCGTTATGAAGTTGAAACTTGTTTTATTTAAAAGAAGAACATTTTTATGGTAATATTGTATCCTAGTTAAAATATTGTATCCTATTTAAATATTTTATTATTGTATTAGTTAAAATATTTATTATGTATTAATAATATGTATAGTTAAAATATTGTATGTAATATTGTATCCTAGTTAGTTATTGTATCCTAAAAACTAGGATTCAATATTACCATAAAAATGTTGTTCTTTTAAATAAAACAAGTTTCAACTTCATAACGTTCTTAGTTTTTTATTTATTAACAAATTAAAAGGGTCAGTTAATTCTGGTTCACCCTGTATATGACTGGTTTCTGGACCGAAACTAGCCTGGAACTATGTTCATTTTGTCATGACTATTTTATTCTATTTCTATGTTTGAAATTATAACTATAATTTACAAGCATTATGGCTAGACTCAGTTACGTATCGATAGAGAAAACCTCATGCCTGCATATAAGATTTACTGCTGAATAGTAATTAGTCTTCGTCGTAAGCACATCGTGTGTGTGGTGTTTCCTCTTGCTGCTCATGGCCGGCATACTGAAGGTTAATCAAGCAAAATTTTATCAGTTAGACTATCTGGATATTCAAGGAGGAAATGGATATTCTCTGGAGTGTCTGGATATTCACCCGAGTATCTTGAATATTCACGATCAGACGGATAGTTATCATGAACTTGGCTACGTTTAAGGGGGAGGTATACCCTAAAATTTTCAGATTTGGCATTTTTGGGTTTTAATCTCATCTTAAAGCTGAAATTCTGCTCTTTCCAATGGTACCACTGCCATCTCTGCACGTAAATATTTACGTTCATGACGTCTCTTTAAAGGGAAGCGGGTGGGCGAGTTTTTAACTAATTAGATATAAAGTAATTAGCTGCTGAAATCTTTGAATATAGTTTCTACTTGAGTTGTGCTGCAGTTACATGTTTAGTCTCATCTTAAAGCTGACATTCTGAGCTTTTCAACGATACTATTGCGATAGCTGTGAATGAATTTTAACGCACACAGCTGGGCTCTAAATGGGGGCGGGGGTGGATTTCCTTCAGAAAATAGATAGGACTTAATTCACTCGCTAAGACTAAAAATATTGGTGTATCTGGCATCAAGCTGCAGTCACCCTCTTCGCTTTGTGCGGAGTGGTGTTCTGCAAGTCGCTCCTAGCATCCCTGAGTGGAATTAGGCTACAGAAGCCTGTATTTTGGTAGCTATGCTACATTTAGTGACTATTTCAAGGCGCGCGGAACTTTGTCGCGCCGTCCTGAAAAGTTCAACTTTTTGTCACGGAAAACCTATCTCCTCCTAGAGTTTTGGAGCTACAGCGATGAGACATATACCATTCTATTCGTAAAGAACATACCTATGCAGTAACACAGCCCTTTTTTTAGATTTGTTCATAGTTTGGATTCAAAATGGGGGGGAAGGGGGGGGGAAATGAGAAAAAATGAAAAAAATGGGAAAATGTTTGTAAAAAAAAAACTAAAGCAAAAATAAAAAATCGGGCCGTGTTACTGCATTGGTATGGTCTTTACGAATAGAATGGTATATGTCTCATCGCTGTAGCTTCAAAACCCTAGGAGGAGATAGATTTCTACAGTTATCCCTTTTTTGTCCGTTTTCTATGAATTTCACGTTTTCTATCAATTTTTTCAAAAAAATCACACGAACAAAAATGTCTTAGAATTCTGTTTTACATAAGTGTACCAAGTTTCAGAGTGATCCGTCCATAAACAAAAAAGTTTTTCTGGTGCGTATACCTCCCCCTTAAGTGGCCATCGACGTTCTAACTCCGTCATTTCGTTCTACAATCTGAACGTATTGGATATTCCAGTAGAACTCATAAGGCGACCTCGTGATATCTCGAGATGCACATATTTTTGACCCACTATTCTTGTTACGGATTATCGAAAACTATTCCTGATTATCACCGAACTTTTTTTGAGTTATTATTATTAGCCCAATGTAAAGAAAAAGTGATTTATATTATACTGAATACATATATAACATGTTTTATTCATTGCAAGAATATTATTTTCCATGAAGAGGTTAACATTCCCACAGACAAATAATTCATGATGATTCATGCTTGTGTTTTTCATAAAAAGATCATCCTCCTCTAAATCACTTATGAAGAAGGCTCTCGTGCCAGCTTGGACTATGCACGTCGTGCGACATCATCGCCTGGCCTCAGTCGCCAGAAAGTCTTCGTGGAACGCCGGTAGCATTGCGAGCCTAACTAACAGTCGTTCAGTTCTCTGTTCAATATTAGTGATTCTTCATAGAAAGAGGTTCCTCTGCTTGTGAAAAGTGGCTACAGATCTCACGTATTTCCGTATCTATTCTTGTGTGTAAAGAGGGACAGATGAATCACGATGATGAAACAGGTTTGAAGTAGTAGTGTTCCACAACGTTAAATCTACTTCAATATAAATTGAAGAACTACAATGAGGATCGTTTTTGATCAAAATATTCCTATAATTTAGTTTGAACTTGTTTTCCTTTGTTATCTCGCTTTAATTTATGCAACGCTAGATTGTTTGCATATAACGCCTCCAAAAAAGCATTGTGTATTGCAAAAGAACGTCTTTTATTTTGAATTACAAGTTCCATGTTTCACGTGGAAGTTTTCACAATGAGTGGAAAACACTTTGATCCATACTCTAAGGATCATTTGGAGCTATTGGGAAGCTCCGAATAATCTATCATTATTGTTAAGGTTAATGACTCTCGAGTAGAATACGTTAGCCGTTACCAACCAGATTTGTAAGGACGGATTGTAAAACACATGGCTACGGAATCTATACCCGACATAGTGCGATGTGTATTGAGCAGTGTAGACTAGGAGCTCGAGGTAGACTGCTGGACCTACAAATTGATTGTGTCTGTTCCTTAGATCGATGCTGGGAGCTTATATTGATCAAGGACCGCGTCCACGCCAATTTATTAACCCGCGCACTGCGGTTATGGGGAGGAGGGAAAAGCTCACCATGCGTGTATACAGGGGGGCTCGCAGCCCATGCAGCGAGCACCAAGAACTGCAAACATTCATCTTAGACCAGAATGTCATCTTCTACTCCACTAATTTGTTAACAACTTCTACTCTTCTGTTCGAAAATACAAACGAATTCTATGAGTCCTGCAGCGCTAGGTTATGTACCCATAACTTCGGAAGTGAAATACCACCTGAATGTATTGTAGTTAATTAGACTATGAGATAACTTTAGTCATCAGCTAAATAACAACTACTTCATTACTGCACTCGAATACACATTTGTTTATGTATACTTCACTTACTGCTTACTCTGGTGGCGCACACTAAGCTCATTGGCTTCATTTTATCATATGACACAATCAAGTTTATAAACGCCGCCGTTTCCAGCAGGCCTAGAACCTTTTCCACGCAACTTTTTACGTGTACTTCTTGCAGTTTGATTCAATTATATGAATTTTAACTCTTTTCCTAAATATTTCTTTATTGCTCATTCATTCCGGCATTCACTTGATTTGATTCATTTGGAGTCAAATAGACTGTGCCGTGACAAATTCCATTCCAAGCCCTCCATTCTGCAGTTTGGTATTCTATAGCAACATTATAATATGGCATTTGAAGGCGTGGAAAATAATGGGATTCATTCTTGCTTATGATGCAAAAGAACTGTACTTTGAATTTGTTACTTTTCGGCTAGATTACCACAACTGCCTATTAGCGAGCTGTCCTTCGTGCTTGTGCACTCGGCCACTCAATCGATGTTATTGAAGTGTAACGTTTAATTACATGCGTTCTTTTATTACCTAACTAATCCTTCAGTGCATCTAAGCAACCTCATGTTGCAGGGTATGCCGCCTACATGAGCTCGTCTGGACTCTGGACATGGAGTGCTGTGATGAGCGAGCTGTCTTTTGACGTCAGGATCCTTTACGATGTAACGTAGCCCACCCAATCGCAGGAGGAGTTCAGTTTGAGCAGGGACTGCTACAAAATATTTTGTCGGTCATGATAAGTTTTGTTGTAGGCACCGACCACGGGACTATTACTTCACTTGTCGTGTATCGCGCTTATTCCTGTCATATATTATACTCTTTCACTAATGACTTGTATGTTTTTCGGTACAAAAATCGAATGAGTCGCTCCAATTTTTCGTTGCAGTTCCTCATTTGGAGTGCGATGTCCTTCAATATACTTCATTTTTACGTCTATCAAAAAACACAATTGCAATTATACATTGATTTTGATCTATGATAGAACTTCAGATTTTCAGATTTATAAAGTAAATATGATATATGATTTCCACTTTGTTTGCATTGTATTTTCATTATTCTTGGCTTGAGCGTAATCATTCAATTTACTGTGGACCAGCTATGCCCAAATATTTCTAAGTTACGCGGAGATTTTCTGGTTTACCATGCATGATAAATCTCTTATGAATTATGCGCTGTTACCGTATGACCTTAAATTACCAAGAAATTCAACGGCCAAATCATCATTTTGCTCATTAAAAAATGGCTTCCTCCGTCACGCGTTCAAATTTTCTTTCGAATGGCTCATTGGCTTCATTTTATCGTAAAATGACATAGTCAAGTTATAAACGCCGCCTTTTACAGCAGGCATAGAACCACATTCAAGTAGATCCTGCCACAGTTTCGATTAGTGATGATATCCTCAACGGACCAGTCACTTAATTTGGCCTAGAGTGACCAGCCCGCTGAGGTTAGGGGTCTATAACCACCCCATCACAGGTCGCTGCGGCTGAGACCCTATAGAGTTCTCGAAAACACTGCCTGAATTAGCGACAAAACTTCTGGGTAACCTAAAATTGTAATCACTTCGGTCTGTAACACTTCGGTCTTCGCAGTAATAGATGATTCGGTCACGACGTCACTGCAATTTTACTCCAGGTATTTGCGTAGTTCAAAGACTAGAAGTCGTAGTGCAAAGACTCAATATTACAATCAATACGCCAAGAGAAATCAAATTTTTTCCCTTAGTCTATAACTGTGACGATTCTATTGAGGCTGATAAATATTATGATAGAAAGTACACCCGCATCAGACTGGAAGATACTAACGTATAAAGATGCTACAACTTGCAGAAGGGCGTAAAGGTCCATTAGCAAGAGCGTTGCAAGAGTGTCCCAATCGGATGTCATGTAAATTATGAGAAAATAAGAAATACACAACAAAATTAAGCCCTGGATATATGCTCTGGCAGCATCGCGTTATCTTCCGATTGCGACGTTCTCTCCTTCATAAATTTGTACTCCTGGGCCAATACTTTCAAAAAAAGTTAAGAGATCGTAACTTCATCAGCCAATCATTGACGGCTTTCAAGCAAAATCCACCAATCTTATACAAGAAAATAGAGCGTAAGTACTTACGTTCACTTAGCGAGTTTTGAAAGTATGGCCCCTTCTCCGCTCTATAATGTTGTAGAAAGAGACAAGAAACCGATTCGGATGCGAGGGTTCAAAGCGTCAATAGCGTATTTTTCATTGTGTCTAAAACATTGACAGGACAAGAACACATTTGGGAATGAACATAGTCATTCGTGCTGATTTTTGTGCGGAGGTGAAAAAACAAGATTCATCGCCGGACCGAAGGTTCAGACTACAAGGAATCCACTACAAAAATTTAAAACAATTATTTTTGCCCTGCACCGCAAATGTCAACAACCAAAGTACCCACTATATTATTAGTTATGTAAAAGAAAAAAAGAATATGCAAGCATGGCTGAAGATTTTGAAGGGAACTTTACATAGAATGCAACATGAGCCTAGATATTTGAAGTATTATACAGCAATCAATAACTTGGAATTTGTGGGGTATTAACAATTTTACCGATTTTATTGTGATGCTCATTTACGGAGCTATGGGCTTAATTATAAAAAATCATAATTCATTTTCTTTCTTCGAAATTTGGGTTATTGAAAGTTGTATAATGAATTATTTTTCATCCATTTATTATGAATTAAATTGCAATTAATTTCGTTGTTATTATAAAGCAAAATTGTTGACCGAGGCGGCCTCAATAATTTTCAGGGAACTGATTTGTTCTGCAAGCAGCTATTGTATGAACAAGGTTATAATGAATAGGAAAAGTTTTTCCCTTAAGGTTTATAGAATTTTAATTATCGATGTTGACCGTACATTATGGATTTTATCGCTCGATCGTCAATTGCTTTAATTCTGTCAGGTTTGGTTACCGAAGTGGCTTACAAGGCGCGCGTGTAAATAAGTTCTCGTATGAACATAGGTTACGGCAAAAATCGTACAGAGAGAGGGTTGTAATGAAACATTAGTACATTTAATATTAACTTGGGAAATTCAAGTGCACATCCTACGTTAAAAAAAAACTCTGGTACATGAAAAAGAAAGTTCGAAAACAATCAAAATTGAAAACATATCAGTTAACACCATTAAAATCTTCTACTTCTATCAGGAAACGTTGAACCGTAGAACGCTCCCTAGGAATGGTACGGCTCCCGCAACGACCGTCCCTCACGCGCATGATTGCAGCTGTATTCCAAGTAGCAGTACCGCAGCTGTAGCCGCGTGTCCCCGCGGTTGCTCCATAGCTGTCATGACCGTACGGAAGATAATTGTTGCTCGGTGCTTGAAAACTTGAATCTTTTGATGGCCGGCGTTACAATCGTTGGGCATCTCGTGGACCCTCTCGCGTTGTCTCACGACTGAGTCGCAGCCGTAGTGTTGATGTCGACCATACTATAATAATATGTCAAAGTCGTGGCCGTCCATTGTACATGTTTGACGTTCTCACAGGAATCGTAGCTGCCTCGGAGAGGCTAGGTTTCTCGCGACAGCCAAAGTTCGAAAACGGCGAAACCGCCGGTCTCACGGCCGCGGCCGTCGCAAAGTCTGAAGACAGTAGACCGTACTCGCGTGACGGTCAACTCAGCAGAAAAACCTCTTGTCGTCAATTTTCGATTGCTTATATAGGATGTCACGCACACATAAGCCTATCACGGGACGCTGCGACAGTTTCGAGTTCCACAAGGACCAGCACTTTCGATACCATCGCTATTCCAAACTATAAACAAACCCTCGATCTCACGGTTTTCTTCCCTAACTTTGCGGGGGTCGCCTGCCGAAGACCACCACTGCCCTGGATGTAATGGACCATCATGATTCCTGCCTTGCGGAACGTAGCCTTCAACACTTCAAGCCGTCCGTATCTAGGCCGTGGGTCGAACCAGCCCTCGGTCGAACGAAAAGATCCAACTCCTGTTAAGACGCCCATCCAGAGACCTTGTGGCCGCGGCCCCAGCATTTTCGAGAAGATGGCTTGCGTGAGGCCGTTAACAACAGGGTAAGCTGACATGGTGATTATGAAGGCTACGAGGACTTGCGAAATTGAAGATTGAGGGACATGAGTACACCATTCTTGATTGGTCGGGCATCCGAGAGTACATCCTTCGGAATCAACTGAATCCTCGCGTAGCAAACTGGAATAGAAACTCCCATACGGGGGGAATGTGGGTAAAGTGAAATCGGCCATCATGAGTGAGGTATTAGAAAAAATTTCAGGGGGGCCAGTGTCAGAGCAGTTGGACATTTGAATTGGTGTGTTTCCCATGGGTATGTATAGGCAAGTTCCAATAACTTCAGGGATAAGTCCAAGAAATATAAGAAGTTTGCGTTCATCATAGATCTTAGCAAGCCTCGTCGTTCCAATGAATCCTCCGACGCAGACGAGACCAGCTCCGGCGAGGGCGATGCCCACAGCTACCATGGCGTAATCATCAGTCACTGCGTACATGTCAGTGACGAAAGGCTCGGCCAGCGCATCAAGGAGAACGTAGATGAACAACACGAAGAAAAAGGCAAATAGAATGCCTCCAATACCAAGATAATCGGGTTTTGGCAGCTGCAGCGGTTTTTCATTACCATCTTTCTTACTTACGAGAGCTTGCTCTTTCACAGCGATGGGATGTTCCTGCAAGGAACGAAGATGAAATTTTAGAACAAAAATCTAAACTATTTACTCTAGAAAGTGGGCGTTGCATGACCATGAAGAGGGCTGTTAGCCTACAAGTTCTTTGGGGGACTTGAGTGTCAGTTTCATCAATATTGACGGCGCTTGATCATTGCCATGACGGCCACTTGTGAAGGAGAAGAAAATGTCTGTTTGAAATAATGATGCGTACTCTAAAATACTGGATCATAATAATCAGATCAACAATGCATGTGCTGTATTATACTGACTATTGTATGGCGAAAAGTAGAAAGACCTGCTACAGAATTGAATGCACAAAAGAAAAATTTTTACTTTTAATTATAAAGCGAAAAAATTTTTTTAACACAACTCAACCATGTCTACTGAGACATTCATTGTCGTCGATGTCGTCGTATTTTCGTGTCTTTAGAAAATCGATTTTGATTATTTTTAAATTTATATTTTGGGATCGCACGATTCCTACTTGATGAATACATGTGACAGCAATGACGACAAGTTTATTAGACACGTTCTGTAGTGATCCTTGTTTGTTCAAGAAGATGCACCGCTCTTGCACCATTCAATTTTATCGACTCCCACTCGATCGAATTAAGACTTCACTCATGATTTAATGATCACACCTACTAATTAAACAAATTGTTCTCGACGGCCACAGTAGAGTAAATGAAATTCATGTATTACACCAGCTACTATATAAGTAGATGATTATAGATCGAACGACTCGATTCGTGCACCACGCCGTAGATCATGTACGTATATTTTTCACGCTCAAAATAACCATATAGCCACTCTTGCATTCAAATCCATTTTCTCTTTGACCCTGTGCATTGCGAGAGTATCTGAACGATTATCATAATTGTGCTAATCGTTAATAATTAATTAATCATAATTGATAATTGCAATGTGTAATTTCATTGCAATTTAATTTCTATGCAATTTAATTTAGCTAAATAGTTATTCCTTTTAGCTCTGTTGATGTTGTCACCAGATTGAGTTAAATGTGAGTTAAATATCATATTGAGTTAAATATTGACTTAAATATCATACTAATGATATTAATTGTATTGTCACTGCTTATAGCAAGTTCAGAACTTGATAATGATTATTAAACTTCAAATGTTATTGTTGAGGAATTGAATTTAACAGGGAAACGTAATTTAGACCATGATTTGACTAGGTTGCCTGATGATGTAAATTGAGCGTTGAGCAACGTTGGATACCTCGTTAATTGAATTAGGCGTTGGAAGGTGAACAGCGTAGAGTTTTCATTTTTGAAAATGTGAATAAAATAACTTCATGTCATATTTATAATTGAAATTCTAGCCAATCTGTGTTGATTCATTGTGTATTAAAATTCTAATTCTAACCTATTTTGATTCTATTTCATATATTATTGCTTATGGGGGATAGGATAAATTGATTTTGAGAGTATTGATTTTGCTTCAGTTAATCCCAATAATATTGAAGTGTCATATTTATTAGCATTGTTCAAATGTGTGATATTTAATTAGATAAATTCAATTGGAGAACTTTAGAAAATGTTAACTGGAAATTCTGAATTATCAGTCAAACAATAATGATATTAGCGTGATTTTGAATAATGATATAATCCGATATGTCAAGTACCTTGGGTTAATTCAGCCATCTAAAATGTGAGTTTAGCTTAGGAGTTTAGAAATAACATTATAATTCTGTGTTGAATCTCGGATTTCTTTTATTAAGAGGACACCTATTCATAAGATTTAGTAAGATGATTCCTCTTGAAAAAATACTTTGCCGACGCTTAAATAGGCCTTTGATTAATTTAGTTACCTTGTTCTCAGGTCTCGCTTGGATATCATACCTGAAGAAATATTACATCCGCCTGTTCTCTCCACGTTGCAATGTCTGGCAGAATCTAAACCTAATAAGGAAGAAAAATTGGACGCTCTTTATATCCACCATATCACCTTAATTTCTCCGGTTTTACCTCGACCACGTTATTGGCTCATATTATTCCCACATTACCGGTTACTCAAATTCTTCACTCTCTCTGCGTCTGATACGTCTGTTGGCGTGTTTTTGTGGTGAGATGAGAGTGGGGGTTTTGGGTAGCCGCACCTGATCGTGATGGGAACAACTGTCGCCCAGGTGCAACATAGCCCGTCGTGTAACTGGTGAGAATGTGTAGGGTGCAGGGTTATATGAAGTGTTTAGTTTAATGGGTTGTTGGTAGGTGTTATTTGTAGATGGCTGGAGGTTTAGGGCCTAATGCCGTTATTTTGGTGCATTGAAATTGCTGGTGTTGCTTGTTTACTGCGTCTGATGGGAAAGTTAGTTGGTTTAGACCAGTGGTTCCCAAAGTGGGCGATATCGCCCCCCTATGGGCGGTGGAAAGATTTTGGGGGGCGGTAAGGTAGAAGAGGGCGTTTGGGGGGCGATAGGGGGGCGGTAGTCCGAAGTCAAAGTCAGAAGTTCGAACGTTTGTTTGACGATTTGTACACAACACGTGCAGCACATCATGACTCCCAGCGATGGTTTTTTCACCCAGATCTGTTTTTTAACCTCTCCTGGTTTACGTCTCGGACAAATTAACGGCCGGACTCGCGGCCGATCTCACGGCCAATTTCCAATTCAATGTTCAAGTAATATCTCTCAAACTAATGAACTTAACTTGTTGAAACTTGGTACACGTATTCATTAGGACCTAGCGGTAATGTTAAGCTGGTGAATTTTTTATTAATTTTGCCTTCATTTGTTTTTTCCATGGTTATATGGCAATACGGGCCGAAATTCACAGTACCGGGTAATCAAGAAATTTTTTCCAAACTATTGAGCAGATTCGAACGAAATTTTGAATTTACAGTCCTAACTACCGAACGTTAATGTTTAGCTCGTAAAAATACATTCGATTGTGCCTTTGTTCGCCAGCTTTTTTCCATATCACCTTCATTCGTGATTTAAACAGCAATACGTGCTTAAATTCGCAGTAATCAAGAAATTCCTTCCAAAACTACTGAATGAATTTGAACGAAACTTAGTATTTAAATACCTAACCTCAGCAACGGTGATGTTTAGCTTGCTACAATTTTTTCGTTTTGCCTTCGTTTGCGAGTTATACGGCTATATGTATACGGATATACGTAAACGGCTCTTGGTTAAACCGGCCGGTAGAAACGCCGGTCGTTCCTCCTATATCTGTATAACTCGCGAACGAAAACAAAATAGAAAAATTGTCGCGAGCTAAACATCACCGTTGAGAGGTTAGGTTTTTATATACAAAGTTTCGTTGAAATCTGTTCTGTAGTTTAGAAGAAATATCTTGATCGCCGCGAATTTAAGCGACAAATTATCCGGCGATACGGGCTGAATATAAGGATGTGTGAAATCAAGAATGACTGTGAAATAAAAAAAAAACTCGCAATCGAAGGTAAAATCGAAAATTTTTAGAAGCCAAAAAAAATCAACGCTTAGTAGTTAGAAATGTATATTCAAAATTTCGTTCAAATCTGTTCAGTAATTTGGAAGAAATTCTTTGATCACTGCGAATTTCGGCCTTTATCGCAATATAACTCACGAATGAAGGTAAAATTTAAAATTTTTTACGAGCTAAAAATCAACGTTAGGTTCTGATGAATATATGTTCCAAGTTTCCTTGAGCTGCGTTCATTAGTTTGGGAGATAATACCGTATAATTGAATTTGGAGATTGGTCGTGCGACTGGCCACGAATCTGGCCGTGAATTTGCCCGAGACGTCCTAGGTTTCTAGTGCTGAAACAGTTAAAACAGCTTAAAAACATATTGGTTCACTAAATGGGGTTCTATTTGTGAAATACACATTTGTGTTTAACATTTATCTATTAAAATTGTAGCATACTAAATTTCAAGAAAGAGGTGTATGTTTTTATATGTGTCTGTGGGGGGCGCTAGAAGTTCACTAGGGAGCCAAAGGGGGGCGCCAGCCTGAAAAAGTTTGGGAACCACTGGTTTAGACTTTAGAAGATCGGGTGTGTAAGTGGCTATTGTGTTCCAGGTTTTCCGCGCTTGTTCGTGTAGGACGATGTTGATTGTGAGTATGTTACATCGTTCGTGGATTGTTCTTGAAGAGACAAAGTCGCTCCAGTGGGTGTTTGTGTTGAATCAGAGTGCTTTGTTCTGTATCCTTTGACGTTGAGAGATTGCTGTTCGCGACAGAGTGTGCAGTGGTATGGGCGGATAGGTAAGTGAGAATCGTACAAATGCCATATAAAATCTGTATTTTAGGTTGGGGGGAGGTTGGCGAATCTGTAAAGTTTCTGAAGGTTTCTTCTGGCTATCTGTTGTCTTGCTGTGACTTGCGTTCTGTATCCGCGAGTGGTTATTTGGAGCCCTAGAACCATTCCTTTGATTGTGTAGGGGAAGTGTTTGTATTCACTGAACATTTCGGTTGTGTTTTTCCTGCTGATAGGGATTATCTTGAATTTGGAAGTGTTTGTTTCAATCTTCTATTTCTGCTCGAACGTGTTTATCTGTGTGGTTGCGTGTTCTGTTGGTCGAGCTAAGAAACGTTGTGTGTGCCTGCCAGCTGTAATCTGGGTGATGTCGTCGGCCCAGCGTTGCCAGATGGTATATTTCTATACCAAATTTCACAAATCTGGTATTTTCAGCAGGTGTCTAGTATGAATATTTTAGATCTCGTATATTTCCCTAAATCTGGTATTTTTTGGCTTACTGCATTAAGTTTCACCTCGGAAGTTTGAACTTCCTCCAGCGTAGGCGTGGATTATATAGATTACCTTCAGAGCGGCGCGACTAGAGCTTTCCCGCCATTTTTGGACCCGCAAGTTTACCGCTTGATGAAATAACCCCAATCTAATTGTTAACATTTAACAAAAGTGTTTAGTACAATATAAGCACGAGAGTGATGATCCTTGATTCACTTTGATTGATTACTGATCAGTGATGATATGGCCTAGGACGAGTGAGGTTTTCGAACCGATCTCTGCGACGCAAGCTCCAC